CAGTATAGCTACCATCACATGGTTCATACAATTGACAACTGAGCCAATGCTAACACTGGCCCACTGTGCTACATCCTCAGGTGATGCCACATTTCCATAATGCCCTGCACAGAAAAGGAAGATTGCCAACTGGACTGCAACTGCCAGCTGACAGTTTTCGGAATTGCTTTGGAATATCATGTGTCCACTAATCTGATCCAGAATGTGATCAAAAATTGGTGGGTCTACATGAAGGTGCTTTCAAAACAGGTGGGGCCAATGATCTGTGAAATGTTTGAAGAGGCACAGCTGAGATGCCTGCATCATTGGCATCTCAGGTCTCTCAAGGATACATGCATGCTCTACTTCATCTCTGAGAGCCATGATTGCATTTAGCAGCTGAGCATAATGCCCATCATGCTCAGCTGTGGAGTCTGTGTCATTGGAGGTGCTGGATTCGAAATCTGACAGGATCAGAGTGACTGGCAATGGTGGAGTGATGAAGAAGAGAGTTGTGGGGAGCTGGAGCCTGAACTCAGTGATGTTGACATAGATTCCAAGCTGCTACCATCAACTCCACATTGTGCATTTTCAAGCCTTGCTATTGCAACATGAAGGCTAGTCTTGTCCAGCTGTTTGAGCAGATCTTGGAAGACAGATTTCCGGGGCATCTGGTAGCTCTTGGATGATGGGTAGATGTTTATTGATCATGTACAATGCATTAATATGAGTTTGATATGTTATTTGACATGTATCTTCCAGGATAAGTAACTACCATGTATTGCTAGTCAAGCAGTGCCACAGGGCATGGTACATTGGAGTCAAATTTTATAGCAGCAGTGGCCTGTCAGAGTGCGATTCCAGAGCACTTCCAAAGCCACCTTGAGCACCACTATTACTGAAGTACATGGATTTTTAGGTCTCTGCTCATACTGCAGGATCTTCATCAAAGACTTTGCCAAACATGCCCATCCCCTTGTCAAGCTGACCAAGAAGGATGTCCCCTTCGAATTCCATGATGAACATAGGGACACCATGGAGTACCTCCACTGGGCGATTGTCTTGTCCCCTGCATTGCAAACTATTGACTATAATTCTGAAAGGAAAGTCATCTTAGCAGTTGACACTTCTAACATTGCTGTTGGGTACCTCCTCATGCAGGAGGGGGAAGATGGCAAATGCTACCCTGCTAGGTTTGGCTTGATAACTCACAATGATTGCAAATGCCACTACAGCCAAGCTAAGCTAGAACTATTTGGGCTTTTCTGCACCTTGCATGATGTCTGACTTCATATTTTCAGCATGCAGAATTTAGTTGTTGAGGTGGATGCATGGTACATCAAAGGGATGATTAACAATCCTGACCTACAGCCTAACACAACCATAAATCATTGGATCACCAGAGTTCTTCTGTTCAACCTTGAGCTCATACATGTTCCAGCACACAAGCACACAGCACCAGACAGCCTTTTGAGGAGGCTGAGAGCAGAAGAGGATGAGGAGGGAGATGAAGACTATGAGGATTGGATAGATGAGTGTGGGGCTTTCACAGTCAAGCTCTTGAATCATAGAGAAGCATGTTTCAAGTCTCAACCTTACCCCTTGGAAATTCTGAGTGTTGTGTCAGACTCATCTCTCCCCCTGTTACAGAGTCTAGGTATCTTTACCACCAAAGAATTGATGCCCAGAATTCTTGAGACTGAAATTCTGAGGTCAGAGAAAGCAAGGCAGAGAGAGGAGAGGATAAGAGTGGTGAAGGAGTTGTTGGAGACAAAGAAATTGCCAGAAGGGTTGGAAGAGGTGGAATTGGAAAGCCTAGTGCATCTTGCAACTCAGTATTTCATGAAAGGAGGGGAACTGTGGAGGAAGGATCCCCAGGGACAGCATCAGCTAGTCGTTCCCCCACACAAACACCTTGGAATTCTCTGCAAGGCCCATGATGACCTAGGGCACAAGGGTATCTTCTTGACTCACATGCATTTGCTGACTTGCTTTTGGTGGCCCATGCTAGAGCAGGACATCTGTTAGTATGTTAAATCATGCCATGAGTGCTGGATCCACCAATTGGATCACATACATATTCCACCAGTCATTGCCATTCCCAAACCCCTATTCTACAAGGCATATATGGACATGTTCTTAATGCTGAAGTCAAACAGTTTTCACTATGTCACCCAAGCCCACTGTTTACTCACCAGTTACCCCAAATGGGCTATGTTTCATGCCAAGACAGGCAAGTCCATTGGAAAGTTCATCTTTGAACAGATTTTGTGCTGTTGGGGTGCCATTGCAGAGATTGTCACAGATAATGGGGCAACAATGTCCTTGCTTTTGACTGGCTCTTCAAGACCTTCAGAATTCATCACATATGCATCTCCCCTTATAACTCACAGGCTAATGGAGTTGTCAAATGGTGGCATTTTGATGTAAGGGAGGCAATGGTAAAAGGTTGCAGTGGGGAAGCATCAAGGTGGTCAGAGGTTCCCCCTGCAGTATTTTGGGCAGAAAGGGTTATGGTCCACAAGGCAACTGGGTTTTCTCCATTCTATATGGCTCATGACATTGAACCCAGACTCCCTTTTGATCTAGTTGAAGCAACATTTTTAGTCCCTTTCAAAGCAGAATTTTACTCAACCACAGATCTCATCACACACTGTGCTCACCAACTCCAGAAACATCCAGAGGACCTTGCTTACATCCATGATCTGGTCCTAAAATCCTGCTTTGTGTCAGCCAAGGAATTTGTCAATCATTTCACATGTTCTATCAAAGACTTTAACTTTGAACCAGGGTCACTCATCCTCATATGAAATTCACACATCAAGCTAGAACTTGACCAGAAAACCAAACCATGTTACATAAAACCTATGATTGTCATCAGACACACTAAAGGCAGCTCATACATACTTGTGGAATTAGATGGCACAGTCTTGAATTTCTGCTTTGCTGCCTTTCGTCTATACCCCTATTTCCCACAGAATAACACTCATATTAAAGTCACCCAGCTGACTGGCACTTCCAGGCAAGACCTGGATTGCCTTGAAGATGATTCATTCCCAGACCCTACACTCACTGGCATCCATTTGGACAATCAGATGAGTAGTCTGTCTTTTTTTACCTGCTTTCTTTCCTTTCTCCATTCTTTCTTTTATCAATACCCATTTTGTTTCATATATAAAATCCCCACTGTTCACAAGAAGAGCCAAAAAAAAATAATTCAGCAACACTTTTACCTTCAGAAGTCTTACTTTTCCTTCCCTTATTGTAGTACTAATACTGACACATGAAAGACTCTTATGATTTCAGAACATATGAGTACAAAAAAAATAATCTGCAGACACTAGTATGCTATTTACAGGTCCCAGAGTTTGTCCTTCAACCTTCACAACTCCTCCTGTCTAGCCTGTGCAGTCTCGATCTGATGTGTTACCTGCCTTGCCAACATCTCCAGCAGCCAGTAGACCTGCTCCAGCTCGAATTCCTTGTCCTCAGCTCTCACCTTGAGCACTTGCAGATGTTCAATGAAGCTCACTGTTGACTGCTCACATGGGTTTTTGACCTCCGGAATTTCAGTGACTGAAGGAGTGGTGCTCTGGACTGGCTCTTTGACACCTCCTGGTTCATTTGACAAGCCAGTCGCAGTCGTGGAAAATGGCTTGAACTTGAATTGTGGTTTGTTGAAAGGGAGTGTCAGGGGGGGGGGGGTTCATTGACAGGGGCTGGTGAGAATGAAGGTCCAGGTGTTGGAGTAGCCCCACAGAAAAAGAGACAAGGGGTTGGCAAAGGATCACAAGGGGAGGAACTTGGTTCTGGGGTAGGCAAATGTGTGGGTGTCAGATCAGGTTGTCATTTTCAAGGCAGAATTTTCAGAGTGAGTTTCTTGGTGGGTCCAGTTGCAGGTTCTGCTGGGGCTGTCATATCCATGACTCTCGGGCTCAATCCTGGTCCAGTCCAGACCCCCTAGCCCCTATCTCCAGTCAAGCCTGGTCCTAGTCTGGCCTAGAAAACCCAACTCTGGCCCTATATAACCTAACTCTGGCCTAGATAACTCAAGTCCAGTGTTTTACCCCTATCTCTGGTCCCCTTGGGCCTCTCGGCCTCATGCTGCTCCATCCCAGTCCTCCCAGGTCCATGTCCAGGTCACTTGGACATAACTCCAGTCTGTTCTCCAAAGTTTGTGCTATATTTAGTTTAGTCCTCTTGCCTGATCTCTGCTTACTGTACAAATCCTGTGTCTGACTCCAGTCATGCCAGTCACCTGGACTTTGGCTATTATCCTTGGCACAGCTTCTGTGGCTATCTGCCCCTTGGTAATCATCTTCCTAATAGCTTACTAACATGTCCAGCTTCATGTTCATTACTCCAGACCAGCCTCATGTATTTAACCCCTGTACATACTTCATAGCACCTCAGTCAGAATATCAATTTAGTATTACCCTCAACTCTGTATTACCCCTTGAATCTACTCTATAGCTAAGGCTGAGCCTTAAGCTGTCCCTGGCCCCTGTCCCAGACCTCTCCCTGGTTTGCATAAGGGTACAGCACATAAGCTGAGACCAAGGGAGGTAGATCCAACCCCAGACTGGCTTTCCCCTGTGTGCACTCCAAGACCAGTCGGTTTCCCATGCTACCAGCCTTGTTCCCACACTTCCTGCCTTAACTCTGGTCCTCCAGAGTTAGCCCCTGACCTCCAGCCTTAACTCTGGTCCAACTGGACTTGGCCCATGTCTCCTGGCCTTGACTCTGGCCACCCAGACTAGCCCCTGTCACCTGGTCTTGAAACCTGGTCACCTGAGGGCAAACCCATACTTGACAGGGGCTGCCTTCAAGGTCATAATTGATTTGACTTGTTTGTGGGACAGCCCTGCCTCCCCAACAGTACTGGAGTTCTTTTGCTGAAGGTGGTGTCAACTTGTTCCCTTGTGGAATTTCACCTGTACAGCACTCACCTTTCTTCCTACTCCATGAGAGCACATGCACTTGTGCTTTGCCTTCCTGCACTGTTTTCAGGATGACTCTGGCTACCCAATGCACATGAGGTTTGCCTGGGCACATGTCTCACAGGGCTCATTGTCTCCAGCCATGTGAGGTCCCTTTGCAGAAGGCCCTGGCTTGCCTTCACCATCACCCTCATCATCATTGACATTGTCAGCCAGCTCATCCTCCTCACTGGTGGCCTGCAGAATTTTCATTCAAGTCAGCATTCACACTTGGGGTTGTCAAGGATGTAGAATGCACCTTCTGTTTCCCTTTTCCCTTGCTTGTGCTACCAGAGCCCCCCCCTGTTGAATGTGCAGCTCTGTTTGATGGGTATCCTTCAGTGTCTTCTGGCATGTGGTTTTGACCCTCACCTCTTGCTGCTTGGCCCTGGGTGTGCATGGATGGTGCCTTGGCCAACATCTTGGCCTCCAACCATGCTCTCTCCTCTACCTGCTCCTGGTAGTCCTCAACAAGGTTGTTGATGTTGAATCTATGCTGCCCTTCTGGCCACCAAAGATCTGCTATTGCTATAGCTGCTGGGATCACCTCATTCTGCTGTATCATGGATTCTTCAGTCATGTCATGTAGGTTGGCATTGCACACCTTTGGGATGGAGATCTTGTTCTTGTCAATGTACTTCCACCATGAGTAGATGCCAGCCAGGGGAATGGTCAGCATGTCATGTTGCATGGGTCTCTGGTGCACTCACCCAAGTCTGGTCCCAGTCCTCCACCCATTCATATATCACCTCTAAGCTCTCTTCAGGCCATGGCACTGTGTTGATTAGCACCCTAATGTGTCTTAGAGCTGCTGACAGCAAGGTGATTGCCTGGTCCCTCATGCTGCATACCAGTTGTGCATTGTGGATCAAGTAGGCTTGCATGTTGAAGGTTGGGTATGGGCTTGGGTAGTGGATATGGGTGTAGCTGGGGAGTGAAAGTTTGATGAGTGGTGAGCCACTTTCTGGGAGAGTTTAAATTCCACAGGGCCATCTTGTACAATGTGGAATTCCACTCTGTGCATGAGGCAGAATTCTGGCCACATGCCATCATTATTATGTAAAGCCTGCCAATATTCTGTGCTCATCTCTGTCATGTCTCAGTTCAGTCTGACTGAGGATGGTCAGCTTTCAAAGTCCCTGGGAGGTGTAGGGAGTCATATACTTCCTAAGGCTGGAACATGAATCAGTCACTAAATTCTGCAAGCCTCTGCAACAAATGCATTGGATGAGAGGGGACTGGTTTTTCCATCATGTTCTGAAGTGCCAGATTGACCTCCAAAACATTCTCAGCCTTCCAAGTACTGATTAGTCCAGAACACATCAGGCATGGGGGGGAAACAGTCCAGGGAATGACTGACAGCAGGTTTTTTGAGGGACTGATGGTTCTGAGAGGATGCTATACTGATGGCACTGTGGTGGCCACCAGTATTTGATAAGAATTCCTTGAGAAAATGACCATGTGGGCTAGAGAGATGATTTCATGAGTTGTGGTAAAAGAGGGAGGGTTAATGGTACAAGTCCAATATTTGTCATTGTTTAAATGCTGACAAATCATCTGGAAGATCATGTGGTCTATTATGTAATCATATTTTCCCATCCTTCATGCCCTTAATCCCATCAAAAGGTCACTTTTCACCAGTCAGGGACAAAAGCATTGCAATGCACTTTTCAGAAAGAATAGGGTGTATCTTGGCATGTATTGCTTTGTTTTGACTGAAACTTAGTGCTCTGGAAAGCTTAGAGTCACCTCTTTCCAATGGTATAGTTATCATGATTATCTGTGCAGAATAGCCTGAGCTACATCAGCAGCAAGTCACACCTCACAAACATTGCAACACTTTTGTCCCTCACTGTAACTAGCATTGGTGAAATATGAACCCTAGCCAATACACCCTTCAATGGCTCCCACTGACACTTAGGATCATGCATCTGCAAAACTTGCAATGTCCTCCATGATACCACCAAGTGCCTAAAACCTTTCAAATGTGTGGAAACAGCCCTGAATGTCATTAAGTGCATCCCCCAGAAATGGATGCCATCTCCTGTTCCTAACCAGAAGAATCCTGATTTATCACTGGACAAAATTGCTCACAACTGAAGATCCCTGGAAGAAAAAAGTGCCCTGACTTTCAACCTGGCACTCACTGAGGCTGGCCCCATTGAAAACTCCTTCCACATACTACACCCCCCAGTCCCACAAATGAGCTCCCACATGGCCCAACTGCAGGCACCAGATGACATAGCCCACCCAACAGTCAAAATCTCATACAGTTCAATCCACAAGATTAATGAGGATGGGGAAAGAGTCTCCTGTGATAGTGCCTTCCTTGCACCTAATGACCCCCAAAACATTGCTTTCCACACAATTAGTGACCATGCAACAAGTGAAACCAGTATCCTGTGCACTATACTAGAATCAGTCAGGAAAATAGCTCACTTTGTACCCATACTGGCCCACATCAACTTGGAATCAATTGTTAAAAACCTCACCATTAACCTACCTAGAAATGAAGATAATGATGGGTACCACTGTGATGACATCCACCTATACTGCTTCCTTGTAGCAACCCTGTGCCATTGCAGCACCCACACCCACCTCCAAGCCTGGAGCACAAACACCCCCCACTTAATATGATCAGTGGCATCCATTCTGGCTAAAGAAGCCCTCACCTACCCATCCCTGACATCTTGTGATGTGTCCATAAACCTGCACTTCTCCATCTGAGGGTTACAACTGTCCACTGGGTTGCAGCATATGTTCCACCACACCCTAATTATGCACTACTCCATGAATGACCTAGGAGCAAATAGGCAAATGAAAATAAACCTAGCTGTAACCCAACATGCTGTGTGGAAACTACAAGGCACCACCCCATCTGAAGCAGAGATCTGGAAAAGCATAAGAAGCAAGGACATACCCAAAAACATCTGTAATTTCCTACAGAAGTGCCTCCAAGGATGCTACAAAATTGGCAAGTACTGGCTCAGGATTCCATCCTATGAAGCAAGAGGTGCCTGCATCTTCTGCAGTGAACCTGAATCAATGCCACACATACAAATAGAATGTACACACTCACCTTTCCTGGCCATAATCATAATTTGGCCTTTAGCAAAATGCTTGTGGTCAATGCATGGAGCCAAATGGCCTGAAATAGCCTTTGGCACCATTCTCAGCACTGGCCTTGCAGTCTTCTGCAATTGTGGGAGAAGATTGATTGGTGACTCCTGACTGTTCATGACCCTAACCCTGGAATCTGCACACCTTATATGGAAACTGCGGTGTGATTGGGTCATTAATAAAGGCACCTATGAGAATACACTATCACCATATGAAATCCATAATAAATGGGTGCACACTATTAACCTAAGACTGAAATTTAACTGCCTCCAAACAGACATCAAGTGATATGGTAGCAAAGGCTTAAAGCAAGATACCATTGTCAAAACCTGGAGCAGCACTTTACTTAACAAAGAGAATCTTCCAGACAATTTGATTTGGAAGTCAGGGGTTTTAGTGGGTATTTCACCTCAGCATCCTCTGGGGCATGGTAGGTAAAGCTACCAACAAGGTGGAGAGTCCCACACTACCATAGCCAGGGTGCATAAAGCATTTCCCCTGGGTGATATTATGGGCTTTATATGATTATATGATTATGTTTTTTCTTCCTTTCTACAACCCCTAGGTGCAAACCCCAACTCCCTACATGCTACTAAGGGGCTGACTTAGTCAGTTGCCTTTCTAGTGTTCACATCCATTAAAATTTTTTAAAAAAAGTACTAGCACCAAAACCCAATAGTAGGGAGATCTCTCTCCTTACAACACAGGAACGGTAAAAGTGGACAGGGGGCTTTTTGAGATGTAATATCACTGTATAAAGTCATCTGATGCATTACCTGTGACAAAAACTAAGTAGGAAATAACTAACATACAATTAGTAAAGTGTAAAACAAATACAAGGGATAACTATACCTCAGCCACTGCCTGAGTATGGGCAAGACAACTGAGGGTTTTGTAAGTGAGAGAGGTGAAGTATATATATATGTGAAAACAAGCTTGTAAGAACAAGGAACAAGGGGTAAGAGAAGATACTAGTAGTGATACATAACCTGTCAAAAATAGAAGTGTGGGAAAAAAGGCCAGTTCATCTAAGGTTCACCTAAGGTTCATCAGAGGTTCATCCACTGGCCACTTATGTAACCTTGTCACTTGTTGACACTCCCACTTCAGTGAAGTTGAAGTCCCATAGCCTTGATGAACTTCCAATGTTGTTTGTGAGTAAGAGCCTTGGTCATGAATGTCAGCTACCATGTCTCCAGTTGGGACATACTGGACAGCAGCTTCCTTATTTGCTACAAGATCATCCCATACATGATGGTATTTCTGTCAACAAGTGACAAGGTTACATAAGTGGCCAGCAGATGAACCTCTGATGAACCTTAGATGAACCTTAGACAAACTGGCCTTTTTCCTGTGCCTCTATTTTTGACAGGTTATGTATCACCACTAGTATCCATTTTTTACCCCTTGTCCCTTGTTCTTACAAGCTCATTTTCACATATATATACTTCACTTCTCTCACTTACAAAACCATCAGTCATCTTGCCCATACTCAGGCAGTGGCTGAGGTATGGTTATCCCTTGTATTCATTTTACACCTTACTAATTGTATGTTAGCTATTTTCTATTTAGGTGGACAATCTAGTTGTCTTGCCCATACTCAGGCAGTGGTTGAGCTATTTTCTATTTAGTTCTTGTCAATTTCCACTGTATATGCTTAGTCCAGGCCTGGAACTGTGGGTCCTAGCACAAGATGATGGCAGCCTGGTTGTCACAAAGGAGTTCAGTGGGTTGTGGTTGCTGATGTCCAATTTCATAGAAACCTCACAACCACTGGAGGTGCTGGCCAGCAATGCTGAGTCCAATGTACTCTGACTCTGTACTTAACAGAGCAACCATTGACTGCTGCTTGCTAGCCCTGGAAATGGCTCCATTGTTTGAGATGAACACATAGCCAGATGTGGACTGGGAGGTGTCTGGGTCTCCAGACCACTTGGCATCAGTGTAGCCATGCAAGTCCATGTCCATGGAGATGTCTGAGCCATCATAGACTAACTCTAAGTCCTTTGTGGTTTGCATGTAGTATAGGACCCTCTTTGCCATCTCCCAGTGTGTCTCAGTGGGTGCTGCTGTGGGGAGCAGGAATCTGCTACCTAGTATGGGGTTGTGGGCTCCAGCCTAGGGATAGGCAATCTGAAGGGGTGAGTTCAACCCAAGGGGAGTTGATCTAGCAGTAGGAGGGGGATAGGGAATGACTGTGACCAAGTCACACACATTGCTCAACCTGTAAATGAAAAGCACGATGGATTAAGGACTGTGCAAGCCTCAAGCCCCCTAGAAATCTGTTGGAAATATGCCTACAACTCAGGACTGGGCAGCGGAAAGGAAAGGGGTCATCTCAATGTCATTATTCTGCTCACTCTCTCTGTCTCTAACCTGGGGGCTTCAAGATTGTTATTTTCCTGTCAATGCAGACAGGTATAAGTGTAGCTACATGCAGAGTATGCAACTATGAACTCAGTGACATCAAAAGTGAAAAGAGCAACAGGAAATGATGGGAATTAGGTGAGATCAATGTAATAATGGCCATGAGGCCAGTATGACATCAGCAATCAAAAGAGTGACTAAAATAAAGAAAGTGCAAGGAAGTGCAAGTGGTCCAAAGGGAAGTGAACAATAAGATGGTGAGAGTGACAGAAATGCACTTACATAACTGATAGTGCAGGTCTGAAGAGCACAAGTGAGCAAGTGCAGGTGGCCTGAAAGTGGTCACAAGTGTCAGAACCTCATCACAACGGCCAAGGGGAGTGTCTAGAGGTCACACAATGGCAGGGGAAGTGGCACAACTGAAGAGGGTAGAGTATTGGGCAACCTGCAGCATGGAGGGTGTCAAAGATGCTTGGGAGCAGTTGCATTTGCATTGCTTTTATCACAGAGTCTATAGACACTTAGTAGACCTCCAATTGACACTATACACACATTCCTAGTGTAGGAAGATTGTTCTCCCCACACTGCACTGAAATGGCTGAGTACTCCAACTGGGAATGCAAGGTCTGGCTGCATTCTGAGCATGGCATACATCAGTGAGCCTATGACAGTTAGGTAGGACATGCACTGGCCTTCAATGGTTACCTCTGGGACCAGTGGTCCATCCTCTGGTTTTGCCACAGTCAGTTTTAGGTTGTGTGGCAGTGGGGTGTGCACCAGTTTGCAGTTTTTCATGCCAGTGCATTCTAACACAGTCCAGATGTACTGTGACTGGGATAGTGTGATGGTCTGGTTTTGCCAGTCATGTTGGAGTTTGATCCTAGGATGTACTTTGCCTCTCCAAGGTCCCACATCTTGAAAGATGATGCTAGTGTGGATTTTACCTCATCCATGAATTTCTGGGAACTTGCAGCCAAGAGTGCATCATCCACATAGACCACCAAGAAACAAACCTGTTGGCCCTTTTGGAGAACATACAGGCAGGTCTCAGCATCCAGCCAGGTGAAGCCAATTTCACTAAGTTTATGGTCAAGGGTTTTGTTCCAAGTCCAGCCAGCCTGCTTAAGTCCATAGAGGGAGCACTTGAGCCACCAACAGTAACCTGGTTGTATTGGGACTCCAGATGGTGGGGACATGTATAATTCCTCCTCCAACTTGCCATTTAGGTAGGCAGTGGAAACATCCATTTGGACCAACTCCAGGTTATGCTTTGCTGCCAGTGCAATGATGATCCTCACAGACTCTAGGTTTGCTACTGCTGCAAAAACCTCCTGATAGTCTACACCCTCTCATTGGGTGAAGCCACAGGGAACTATTTGGAGTTTGTACCACTCTATCATGCCTGCTTGATCATGCCTGATCTGGAAAACTGGCTTTGAGGTGATTGGGGTAACTCCAGCTGGGACTGGGACTGTCTCATACACATGGTTGGAATTCAGGGAAAGTAGTTCCTCTTCAAGGCTGATCTCCAGAGGTGGCCATCCAGTCAAGAGAAGGCTTCATCGAGAGTCTGGGGAAGATCATTTGATGGACCAGTACCTGCAACTCCAGCAAAGAAAGTGTCATTGTCTAGTAGTTCAGACAGGAAGGCACCTGGGATTTCAGGCTCAGCTGGGGATGGTGCTTCTTGATGATTTTGGTGTAGGGATCAAGTTTGAGTTCCCTATGAGAAGTTGTTTTGGTCAGGGGTTGAGGGGTTGAGGGTTTCTTTTTGTTTTCTTTCTTTCTTTTGTTTGTGTGTTTGTATCACTGGACTTAGTGGTGAGCAGCTGTGTTGCTGACTAAGCACATGCGCTGTGTTCATGTGAGTTCAGTTTGCCATTAAAAAAAATACATGTCAGAGGCCCTCAGCAGCAGGGTGTTATAGTCTTGTAATTCAGCAAGTTTTTGATGTCAGATTTATTACTTTGGGGAGTACCCAAAGGGCCAGGAGGACTGGAAAGAGGTAGAGGACAGCTACAGTTAAGTATTCTTTCTAGTTCGCATTTTTTACACTTTTACTAGACTCCATCACTCTGAAACAGAATCTTATGGCATAAAATCTGCACATTTATTTTTCACAGCTGCACTGCCACACTACCATGCCCATTCAACCATGTCATTA